AAGTTCTCAAATCAGTGACCTGTCAAAATAGGCCTTGTAACTGAAATACCTTACAAAGCAGTTCTAACTAATGCAATGTGTTTTTAAAAATTTTTTAACAAATCTTACATTGTAAACATAATTGCAATATATTTTAAGACTAACATTGGTATTTAAACCTTGAAGACCTGTCTTGTATGTCTCTCAATTTTGTCAGAATTTTTATTGTTTTTCACATATTATGTGAAATAAGCATTTTTTTCAGGGTACATAGGGTATCTTTGTTTTACAGATTTTTAAAGATGAGGTTTTGAAAAGCCCTCAGAGGTTTTTGTTATCTTGCTTAATAAATGTCAACTTGTTACAGATTCACACATTACAAGTAGGACAATATAACAGGAGATTGGTATATGACTGCTACACAGCAGTCAGCAAAATGGATCATGTTTCCTTGTGAAACTTCAGAGGTACCCTGAAAGTCACTTCCTAAAGCTAGTGCATCTGAATCTTTTTCCTTGAATTGTGCAGAACAATTGGATTGAGGCACGTATTTTGAGGAGTACCAAGTGGAAAATTATCTTGAAATGTAGCAAGGAAGAGAAACAAGCTTTCTTTCTCTACTTTATTGTTGGACTAATTGGGTCAATTTGCTGTGACATATCAAAGATCTTTTTGTGCCAGGCCGAGATTGGCTACTGAGTTCTCAAAGCATTTAGATATATAAATTGTATATGAGTGCCTATTTTTTTCTCCTTCTTTCATTTTCTATCTTAATACTCTTTTTACTTTTGAAATAATTCATCTGTTTTACTTTATGACCAGTTTTAATTTCAATTAAGAAATAATAGCAACCCTAGAGATTCATAGGAAAGAGTATTGAAATACATTTTTTTAAATAAAGATACCTAAAACCATCTCCCCAACTTAGGGTTGAGCTGAATTTCTGTGAACTGAATATATTGTTTTAAATACTAATTATTCTAAAACGACTTAATTCTTAAAAACAATGTGTTCGGCTTCAAAGGTTTCACTTTGGGAGGATATTCCCAAAAAGGCATACATAGATGGGAAAGTATAAAATATTTCTGACAGAATTATTTGGTATTCTTCAAAATTTACTTCCATGTTTGTTATTGTATCACAAAGATAGTGTCATTGTTGGATTAAAATGTTGGCTGTTTTTGTTAATATACTTAAAACTGTAACCAGTGAATAACACCTGTAGTATTTTTTATTATAGATTATATTTTATTTCAATAAGCTTTGATATTTAGGAAAAAAAAAAAAAAAAAAAGAAAGGAGCATGTCATCTCCCCATTCACCTCAGACCTGTTTGACTTTCTGGCCAAGGCTTAGAAGGCCCTGGCTGCTCACTGTCTCTCTGCATTTTTCTGTTCTCTTCCTCCCAGGGACGTGTCTCATACCAGTGTCACTGCCCTTCCATCCAAAGGCCTGGAGCACCTGAAGGAACTGATAGCAAGAAACACTTGGACTCTTAAGAAACTTCCACTTTCCTTGAGTTTCCTTCACCTTACACGGGCTGACCTTTCTTATCCAAGCCACTGCTGTGCTTTTAAGAATCAGAAGAAAATCAGAGGGTAAGTGGCAGGGACCCGGCATAAGTGACAAAAGACCTTGGTGGAAGTGGAATTCATTTCTTTGTTTTGGGGAAGACGCTTCATGGTTTGAAATCCAGGTGGAGAGGAAATTGGAAACATCCATATGAAACAGGAAATCCACGGGACACAATGACCCTGTGGACCCAAAGTGGGTACAGCAGAGAAATAAGGCCAATGTCGCTGGAAAACTGTAGAGCAGAGGGGATAATAGATGGCACAGGAGAGACACACCAGGTCTCACAGAATCTTGTAGAGGTTATGCAGACATGATTTCTGGTTTCCAGGTACAATTCATAATTAGATACTGCAACACATATTGCCAGATGCCACAATCATGAGAACAGACTTATGAACAACACAAACAGTTGGGTTACCTGATCAGTTTGGGCCTTGCAAACGTCACAGCTCACTGGTTACATGCCTGCGGGCTTTGGAGTCAGCTGCGTTCATACCGCAGCTCTGCCATTTCTCAGACTGTGTTATCCCAAGCCTAGTTACTTAACCACTCTGAGTCTTTGGGAATGGAGATCGTAATGCTATCACTCATAGGAGTTTTGAGAAGATTAAATGAGAAACTGAATGGAAAACACTGGAATGGAATAGACTGGAATATTATAAGATCTTCATCAATATTAACAATGATATATTATGTGCACATCAGGCTGCTTATAAGCCTGCAAAGGAGGAAAGGCCTTCATTTTCTCTCCAGGCTTTCTCTGATTCTTTTACTTTTTCACTTTTACTCTGCATTATTTCCCCTGTTGTGTACTGTGTTCTCCTAATCCACCTTCATTATGTCTATTCAGCGCCCCTCAGCTTCTGTGTATTTACTGATTGACTTTCTACATGCATAATTGCAGTCAGAAAATATCAGATCTAGGTGTGAGGACAGAAACTAAAACAGCCATATAAAGAAGGCCAGTATGGCAGCCAGGCGTGGTGGCTCATGCCTGTAATGCCAGCACTTCGAGAGGCTGAGGCGGGCACATCACCTGAGATCAGGAGTTCAAGGCTAGCCTGACCAACACGATGAAACCCATCTCTACTAAAAATGAAAAAAAAAAAAATTAGCTGGATGTGGTGGCAGGTGCCTGTAATACCAGCTACTAGGGAGGCTGAGGCAAGAGAATCACTTGAACCAAGGAGGCAGAGGTTGCAGTGAGCCGAGATTGTGTCACTGTACTCCAGCCTGGGTGACAGAGTGACATTCCATCACACACACACACACACACACACACACACACACACACACACACGGCCAATATGGGCATCATAACTGGGCAAAAAGCCAGGAGGGGAGTAGAGGATGGTGATAGTGGACTTGCACTGATGTCATGCATCACTGAGGACTGGACCAGGGCTGGGTGGGAGACTAAAGTGGACCTCAGGGGCAGTGTCTGGATTTCTCCTTAGCCTCCAAACAGTTTAGAAGAGGAGTATTTTAACCAGAGCCCAAGAGATCATTCAAAATCTGCCCTTCCATCCAAGTTAAAGAATCCCTTTTGTTGTGAGTCTGGTAAACAAGGAAAAAACTGAATCTTATTTCCGCAAGGCTGCCCGTATGGTAGTGTCCATTCATTCATTTGTTAAACAGATACTTACTAAACACCTATTTGCTTGGCTGTTGTGAATAGGACATGCAAGAATTCCCTCTTGTGTTATGCTTACTGTCTAGTGGAGGAAGTCAGAAAATAAACAGGCTGGGTGGACACAGTGGTTCGCGCCTGTAATCCCAGCACTTTGGGAGGCTGAAACGGGCAGATCACTTGAGGTCAGGAGATTGAGCCCAGCCTGGCCAACATGATAAAACCCTGTATCTACTAAAAATGCATAAATTTTTTAAAATTTTTATAATATTGAGTTTGAAACTAAATAATGATAAGTAGAGGCAGCCATGGGTTTTTCAGGCAATGGGAACATAGGGTTCTATGCTCTAAATAGGACTAATAATAATAACAATAATACCATATGGAATTTGCAAAGCTACAGGTGCTATTGTAAGAGGCTTAAAGAGATAAATCCATCAAATCCTTTAACAACCCTATATGAAATAGCCAGTCCCATTGTCCCATGTTACGAATGAATTAACCAAGTTTCATGGGCCTGCCCAAGCTAGTCAGTAACAGAGCCAGGGTCCCACCAAGGTGACTGGCTCCAGCATCCACACTTTATTTATTCATTTATTTATTTACTTATTTATTTATTGGACAAATCTTGCTCTGTCACCATCCAGGTTAGAGTGCAGTGGCACAATCTCAGCTCACTGCAACATCTACCTCCCAGGTTCAAGCAATTCTCCTGCCTCAACCTCCCAAGTAGCTGGGATTACAGGCACGCGTCACCACGCCCAGCTAATTTTTGTGTTTTCAGTAGAGATGGGGTTTCGCCATGTTGGCCAGGCTGGTCTCGAACTCCTGACCTCAAGTGATCCACCTGCCTCGGCCTCCCAAAGTGCTGGAATTGAACCACCATGCCCAGCCAAGTACAGGCCTGAGTCAACATGCCTGGCCACTTTATTTTTTTAATCACTCTTCTTGAAGTGGTTGCAGAAGAGAAATAAGACCAATGTCACTAGAACACAGTAGGGGAGGGGAGGTCATAGGAATGACGTAATAGAAACAGGCCTGCCCAGATCCTGTAGAACCTTGTAGAATTATGTACATCATAGTAAGTAGTTTGCATGTTTTTGTGAATGTAGGAATCATTTGTGGATTTTAAGCAAGCACTGACTTTTTTTTTTTTTTTTTTTTAGACAAAGTCTTACTCTGTCACCCAGGCTACCATGTAGTGGCCCAGTCTAGCCTCATTGCAGCTCTGACCTCCCCACGCTCTGACCTTTCCCACCTCATCCCCCCAAGTAGATGGGACCACGGGCACCTGGCTAATGTTTGCATTTTTCATAGAGATAGGGTTTCACCATGTTTTCCAGGCTGGTCTCAAACTCCTAGGTTCAAGGAATCTACCCACCTTGGCCTCCCAAAGTGCTGGGATTATAGTAATGAGCCACTGTGCCCAGCCAGGTACTAACTGTTTTCTGTTGCCTTGCAGAATCCTTGAGTCTTTGATGTGTAATGAGAGCAATATGCAGAGCTTGCGCCAGAGAAAATCTGTGAATGCCTTGAATAGCGCCTTCTACCAGGAATATGAAGAGAATCTGGGTGACAACAGGGTTGGGTACAAGGAAAAGTCCAAGTTCCAGGATACTCCTAGCAACGCTCATTATTATGTCTTCTTTGAAGAACAAGAGGATGAGATCATTGGTTTTGGCCAGGAACTCAAAAACCCCCAGGAAGACACCCTACAAGCTTTTGATAGCCATTATGACTACACCGTGTGTGGGAACAATGAAGACATGGTGTGTACCCCTAAGTCGGATGAGTTCAACCCGTGCGAAGACATAATGGGCTACAGCTTCCTGAGAATTGTGGTGTGGTTTGTTAGTCTGCTGGCTCTCCTGGGCAATGTCTTTGTTCTGCTTATTCTCCTCACTAGCCACTACAAACTGAATGTCCCCCGCTTTCTCATGTGCAACCTGGCCTTTGCGGACTTCTGCATGGGGATGTACCTACTCCTCATCGCCTCTGTAGACCTCTACACTCACTCTGAGTACTACAACCATGCCATTGACTGGCAGACAGGCCCTGGGTGCAACACAGCTGGTTTCTTCACTGTCTTTGCAAGCGAGCTGTCTGTGTACACACTGACGGTCATCACCCTGGAGCGCTGGTATGCCATCACCTTCGCCATGCGCCTGGATCGGAAGATCCGCCTCAGGCACGCTTGTGCCATCATGTTTGGGGGCTGGGTTTGCTGCTTCCTTCTTGCCCTGCTCCCTTTGGTGGGAATAAGTAGCTATGCCAAAGTCAGCATCTGCCTGCCCATGGACACGGAGACCCCTCTGGCTTTGGCATATATTGTTTTTGTTCTTACACTCAACATAGTTGCCTTCATCATTGTCTGCTCCTGTTACGTGAAGATCTACATCACAGTCCGAAATCCGCAGTACAACCCAGTGGACAAAGATACCAAAATTGCCAAGAGGATGGCTGTGTTGATCTTCACTGACTTCATGTGCATGGCCCCAATCTCGTTCTACGCTCTGTCAGCAATTCTGAACAAGCCTCTCATCACCGTTAGCAACTCCAAAATCTTGCTGGTCCTCTTCTATCCACTTAACTCCTGTGCCAATCCATTCCTCTATGCCATTTTCACCAAGACCTTCCAGAGGGATGTGTTCATCTTACTCAGCAAGTTTGGCATCTGTAAACGCCAGGCTCAGGCATACCGGGGGCAGAGGGTTCCTCCAAAGAACAGCACTGATGTTCGGGTTCAAAAGGTTACCCAGGACATGAGGCAGAGTCTCCCCAACATGCAAGATGTCTATGAACTGCTTGAAAGCTCCCATCTAACCCCAAAGAAGAGGGGCCAAATCTCGGAAGAGTATATGCAAACAGTTTTGTAAGTTGACACTACACTACACACAATGGTGGGGGAACTTATAAAAGAATCGTTTTTTAAATATGCATTCCAATCCCATGACACCCCCAACACCCAGCTGCCCTCACTCTTGTGCAGGTAGTATTTCAATGTTTCATGGGGCAAGAGTTTATCTCTGGAGAGTGATTAGTATCAACCTAATCATTGTCTCCAAGAAGGAAGTTAGGCTACCAGAATATTTGAATCCCAACGAAAACAAAATAATCTTCTTTCTAGAAGACTTTCTTGATGTTAAGTCCAGAGATGACATTGTGTAGGATGTTCAGTAAATATTAGCTGAGCCATGTCAATATAGAGCTTCTCAGTTTTGTATAGCATTTCATACTAAAGATTCAGCAAATGGAAAATGCTATTAATTTGGTTAGTGACCACAAGATAAAATCAGTCCCATGTTGGCTCAGTTCGACTTGATGTTCTCTGATACAAAGAGAATTTGATTTTCTTAAAACTGAAAAGCCAAACACAATGAGCTGTCATACAAGGAACAGCTATTATGAGACATGAAGGAGGGAAAGAATTAGCTTTGAGTTTTGTTTTGCTTTGTTTGTTTTTTAACTCAACCTATTAATCATCTCTTCACAAGAATCCACCTGATGTGATCCAGCTTTGATGTGATGCCTGGAAAAACTGGCAAGATTTCAGCTTATGTGGCCTAGCAAACTAAGAATTGCTCTTCTTGGCCAGCCTCATAGCATAAAAGATGTGAACTTTAGAAAGTCTTTCTAAGTAGCAATAAGTGGGAATTATGGGCAGAGCACACTCAATCCCCTGTTGATTAATTAAACAAGCTGCACACTAAATATGGTACTTCAGGCAAATCACTTGGCCTCAGAAATCTGTAGAAATGAAGGAGTCCAATAGCTTCTTCCAATTTTAAAACTCTAGTATATCCCTTTCCATTGAAACATACATTTCTAAGATAAAGAGAAAGAAGAGCACTACGTAAGTAGAATCTGTTTTTCCTTTTTTTTAGGGCTGCTGTCTCCTTCACCTTGGAACCTAAACATATGACCCTAGAAATTTTTTCTTTGGTTCACTTTTGGTTATGATATCCAAACCAAAAATTCAATTGAGTGACCATATTCAGCTGGATCTGAATCTCTCATTTAATTATTAGATCTACCCAGCTATAATTAGAAGGCCAAAAACAGATGTGCGTTTATAGAAAAGAATAAATGATGGTTACAAATTTTGGTTATTTAGAGTTGCTACTTCACTATGAAGAGTCACTTCAAAACACTTTGCTTTTCTTTAGGGATCGGTTTTGCCGTTTCCAGCCCACAGCATTGTTGTATCCAAGCGAGCTAGAAGGAAAGCGCCACGCTCTGAGTTCAAATTCAGGAGTCCTTTTATTGCTGGCGACCGAGAGTCAGCTCGCACTCAAAAATCTCTCGGCCTTGAGGAAGGGGCCTGATTATGTTTTATACCTTGATTTAGGTAGGGGAGGGGAGTACCTGGCTGAAGTGAAATTTTACAGAAGCAGAAAAGCAGGTTAGAGGAAGAGGCTGCAGGCACAGGTGGTTTCCATACAATTACCAAGAAGGGGGGTGATCAGGCTCCTTCTACACAATGATAAAAGGGAAACTTTTTTCTTACAATAGCAGGGGGGAGGTATGCCAAGCAGGACATGGTTACGTGGTTACACGTGTTAAGAACAGTATGCTTCAATGCCTCTAAGTGCAGCATGACCCAGTTATGTACCCAAAGGGGCTGCGGTAAGGAGGGGGAAGCCAGGTTGGAGATTACAGCTAAAATGGAGTCAGTTATGCTAGCCCAGGGTAGGTTATTACAGTGTGATACCTAAGCTGTCAAGAGAGGTTTCTTCTTTTCTGAAACTGCCAGCTCTTTCCAGCCCTGTTGATCACTAGTCATAAAACCTCTTTTTCCCAATAATTCTTCCTTACCTACAATAGTCAGGATCTTTATCTACAGCTGTGCGCTCCAGCTTACCTGTCATGATAGCCCCCTAATGTCCTGCTAGAAAAGTCTCCAAGCAGAGATGACGTTACTTCTGAGCACTCATGAACCACACCACGAAATAAAAGCTCTTTGTTGTTTTAAGGCTGTGGAGTGTGGTTAATGGATCCCCACAGATGGCCCCTGCTGGACTCACCTGGAATCTCTCCCTAGTCATACCCATTCATCACTATCACTGAGACTTGCACATCTTAATAGAAATATTATGAACATCTAAAATCATTACTGACCTAGAAGTTTGCTTGTAACTAATGAAATTAAACAAATGTGTTACCTTTTGTCATGTGTCTCTCTCCTGTGACATTTTGAAATACCACATCTTGATAAATAATGTGTTTCATCTTGAATAGCTGAACTAATGCTTTGGAAACAGAATCCTAGAAAAGTGTCTTCAACAGAATTGTTACTAAAATTTGCACTCACAACATGAAATAAATTTTCTTCCTATGAAACAATTGTGCCAAGTCCTGGAGTATTTTTTTTTAATCTGTGAGTTTCTTTGGGGAGTTAGTATTATATGCGTTAAAACGAAAGACAAGAAAAATAATTGGCACATTTGCTAACAAATCCATATTAATAAATAAATTGTTGACTGTCAATAATTAAAGTATAACATTGTGTCTTGATCATAAATGGCCTTTACGTGAAAAACTTACTCCTTGTGAACTGAATTATGATTGACAGGGATCACTGAGAGAAAAAAACAATAAAACCAAATATATCCAGCAAATGATTGGTATTGACACTAGGAATTTAAATAGAGCACTAAAGAAGACAATAAACTTTTAAGTCCTGTTCAGAGTTCACGTTATCGAGCACCTTTCAGTTTTCTGAAGATAAACTCAAATCAGTGAGGATAGACGGCCACAGGCTAGTCACAGAGGAGGTTACACAATTCATTCCTAAAGCTCATGCATGTTTCTCAAAAGAGTGTCTCTTTAAATACTCTCAAAGTTCATTGACTCTTTCTTTAAGGATAATCTACTGCATCAAAGAAGCAGCCAATAAGAAGAGGGTACTACAGTGCAGCACCACGAGAGTGGCAATAAGGTAAAAGTGAGGGCAAAAAGAAGAAAACTATAACCATGATAATTTTTTTTTTGAGACGGAGTTTTGCTCTTGTTGCTAAGGCTGGAGTGCAATGGCACAATTTCAGCTCACTGCAACCTCTGCCTCCCGGGTTCAAGTGATTCTCCTGCCCTAGCCTCCCAGGTAGGTGGGATTATAGGCATACACCACCACTCCCAGCTAATTTTGTATTTTTAGTAAAGATGGGGTTTCTCCATGTTGGTCAGGCTGGTCTTGAACTCTCAGCCTCAGGTGATCTGCCATAAAAGTTTGAGAACAAATGCTCCTACTTTGGGGAAAAACTGTTTTATAACATAGCTGAGTGGTTCTCATTCATTCTGAGTGCCTAGAGGATGCCATAGAAACTTGTTGGCAGCAATGCATTCTGTTTTAAAAGCTATAAAAGTTCCAGCTCCAAGTGGTAGAGTGAGTCCCAGCACCTATCAGCTTTCTTTCAAATCCCACTGACATGATAGGGAAGAAATTTAAAATGAGATCAAGCCAAAACTGCATGGGAAACAGGGGAAATGAAATCACCAGCAAAGCAAAGATGTTGATAGCTTTCTGAAAGATGGAAGGTCTATGGCCTTGAGTTGATATTAACTAGGAATAGAGGAGGCTGAAGCCTAGAACACACTGACAGGATCAGACTGCAGATGCAGAAGGATGTGCTTCCCTGCAGAGTCCCAGTGAGCCTTTCAAGCCTGAAGGTCACGGGACTGAGGGTTAATTAGGGCAATTAATTGAAAGTCTGTGTCACTTGGACCCTCCCATCTGCCATCACTCCATTCAGCTAGAATAACTGGCATATGCAGTGTTTGCTGCAATTAATATCTCAAAGAAATTGAATGATTCCTGTAAACAGGGACCCCAGCCCACTGGCCCACTTCCTGCCCTCACACATAAGTAAAGTCTGATTATTGAGGCGTTACCATCAGCAGCCCCCGCTACCCCCACCTGAAGTCAGGGAGAGGCATCTTGGGGGAAAAGATCTATACAATCTGCTGACATTAGCTGTTCTCATTCTTCAGTCAAAAATATAAACAAGACCAAAAAATTGCCAGATATTTGAGAGAAATAAACTGCACATCAATAGCATGCGCACATACGTGCACTCGCACACACACGTGCACTCGCGCGCACACACACACACACACACACAAAGCCAGGATGAACAAAAGAACATTTCTCCAGAGAAAAGAGATTATTCAAAAACAGAATATTGCTGTTTAATTCCACTTAATAACATCAGAGAAATCGGAGAGAATATCAGACCCAAAAAGAATAAAAAATTACTATTAAGACAATAGTAGTAATCAAAAATAAGAAATAGTTTTGGCAAACTTTAAATGAAATTGCCAAAGCAAGAACTTTGCCAAAAGGAGTGGAAGTTAAAGTTAAGGAAATTCCTTGGAATGTTGAAGGAGTAACAAAATTGTTAAATATAAGACGAAAGTTGAAAGCTGCAGAGGCTCCGTCTCCAAGCCCAACGTCTGTCCAAAGGAGTGCTAAAGAAAACATAGAAGGAACAGAAGGAGAACATTTTCCTAAGCTGGTGAAGATTGACAGTGTCCACTTAGTGTGAAAGGGGATGAATGAAAAGGCACATGTGCAGAATGGTACTTATACAATATCAGAACACAGGAAGTGAAGGGCAAACGTAAAACACTTGAGGGAAAATCAAGAAAGAAAGGTAGACATTGGAAAAGATATTAATAACTGTATAAACTACAAGACAATAATAGAGCAACATTTTGACCACTAACAGCCTTCTGTTCACTAGAAGCCTTACCAATAACATAAACAGTTGATTAATCCATATTTTGTACATGTATAATATACTATGTTCTTACAATCAAGTGAGTTAGAGAAAAGAAAATGTTATTAAGTATATCATAAGGAGGGAAAATATGTTTCCTATTCATTAAGTGGAAGAGGATCATCATAAAGGCCTTCACCCTTATCTTCACACTGAGTAGGCTGAGGAGGAGGAGGACAAGGAGGGACTGGTCTTGCTGTCTCAAGGGTAGCAGAGGTAGAAAAATAGCCACCTGTAAGTAGACCCACACAGTTCAAACCCATATTATACAAAGGTCAGTTGTAATTTCCTAATCTTCATTATGTGCAGCCAAAAGATACATCTAAATATTTATAGTTCAAAAAAAGTACATAAGTAGGTAATACAATTACAAGTGACTAAGATCAGAAAATGGCTTGAAGTGGTTTTCTCTGGAATTTGGACTAGGGATTGAGTGATATTAGGACAGAGTTATGTCTCCCCTAAATTTATACATTGAAGCCCTAATATTGGGAATCCCATATATTGGGAAATATGATGGTATTTGGAGGTAGGGCCTTTAGGGGAGCAATTAAGGCTAAATGATGTCACAAGGGTGGGACTTTAAACCAGTAGAATTATTGTCCTTAAGAAGATGAATACCCCAATTACCCTGATGTAATTACTACACATTGTATGCTTGTGTGAAAACATCACATGTACCCCGTATATATACCCGTTATGTACCCATAGCAATTGGAAATAAAATTTTTTTAAAAAAGAAAGATGAGGCCAGGTGTGGTGGCTCACACCAGTAATCCCAGCATTTTGGGCAGATCACGAGGTTAAAGACCACACTGGCCAACATGATGAAACCCCATCTCTACTAAAACAAACAAAAAAATTAGCTGGGCATGTTGGCTCATGCTTGTAATCCCAGCTACTTGGGAGGCTAAGATAGGAGAATTGCTTGAACCAGGACCCAGGAGGCAGAGGTTACAGTGAGCTGAGATTGCACCACTGCACTCCAGCCTGGGCTACAGAGTAAGACTCCATCTCAACAAAAAAAAAAGAAAAAGAAAGAAAGAAGAGCTGTCCCTACACAGAAGGCAAAGGTCTACAAGTCAAGAAGAGATATCTCCCCAGAAATCAACCCTCACAGGACATTGATCTTGAACTTCTAACTTCCAAAACTGTAAGAAAATAAATTTCTGTTAAGTTACCCAGTCTGTGGTATTTTGTCATGGCAGCCCAAGCAAACTAAGACAAGTAGAAACTTTTCAGCTGGTATTCTTCTGTACTGCTGATTTTTGAATATGAAAATACTTTTTAAATATTGGATTAGAAATTATTATAAGAATATAATGTTTTAAATAATTAAAAATAAAAGATGTGGGCCGGGTGCGGTGGCTCACACCTGTAATCCCAGCACTCTGGGAGGCCGAGGCGGGTGG